GGGGGGGGGCTATGCCAGCTGGATGTGAGGAGGAGGGAGAATGGCCAGTTAATCCACCCTGCATGCCGATGGTCCTTTCAGTGGGTGCCAGTTCCCCTAGACCCAGCTGGTACCTTGGCTGGGGCATCTGAAGGAGCCATTCCAGAGGGCAAGGTGGGAGGGAGCCACGGCTGCCCAGGAGAGGAGAATTCCAGCTCTGCTGTTTGGGGGCCCCTGTGGGGGGATGGTGTGCAGATCCACAGCAGCGACTTCCAAGGGTTTCCTGGCGGGAAAGGTTTCACCCCCAAACCCGAGAGCTGCTGCTGCTGGTCTATATAAACCGGAGAGGGGTACAGTTTGAGCCCCCTCAGTCTCATGTAGACCCCTCCCCAGCCCCAGATCCTCCCCAAAGGTACTGCCAAAGTGGTAGTTCGATGCGATGCGATGCAGTGTTAACTGTGTTGGAATGTAAACTAAATCCCATGTCACTGATGGGCCCTCCCCCCCGACTTTTGGGAGTGGTTCCCACCCCCCACACAAAGGCAAAATAGGGCCTTCTCTGCAGTTCTGGGCACCAAGGCAGGATGCGTCCAAAGAACAGCGAGCAGAGAGTCCTGGTGTTCGTATGCAGCGTGAGCCATGGGAACCCCAATGCGGTGGTTTGGCGCAACATACGTGCCGTGCAAATGCCGCAAAATTATGGCCAAACCCATGAACTGCAGAGCGTGGTCTAGGAAGCCAGACTCACGTGCAGTTTCTTGGGTGGGCTTCGACGGCAGGAATTAGGGGTTGGCGTACAGAACCTCGAGGCCCTTGACGCTTTGGGCTCCCCCCTCTATGGACGCCCCTGCCTCCTTCCCGCAACCCATCCCACTTTGTGCTGGGCCCATTGATCAGCCCCCCGCTTAGCCCACCCCATAGCGCCCCCACCTACGGGACCAAGGGTGGGTGATGGGGGTGGGGGGCTGCACTTCAAGGTTTTGGGAGGGGAGGCAACAGGTGGGGAGATGCATCTCTGAGGTTTTTAAAACTATTTCAGCCTATTTTAGATGTTACCCTATAATTCTGGGTGTTTCCTACTCAGCATGATTATTACAGTGTAATCTTATCCCACTAATCCCATTTTCATGACTAAGATGTCCAAACTGACGTGCCTTATGGTGTAAAGCTAAGCAAACAATAGTATAAAGATCTTGGGATCACTGTCTATCAATGTAACTGACAAAGAAGAAAAGACATGGTTTGTTGCTCTAATTAAACATCTCTCACCCACCATATGAGTCACCAGTTCTTAGAAAATAGCTGACTCTGTCCTGGTTGAAAACGTTAGTCCCTCTTACCCTTCCGGCTGCAGACGGGCCGGGTGAGCTCGGAATGGAGTTCACCACCGTTTCGGATTATAGAAGGCAGAGGCTGGAAATGACCTTGGAGATCAACCCCTGCCCAGCACACAAGAATCCACGGCTACGGCAATCTTCATATACTCGAGCCCCCTGCCAAAAAAATTCAGTCATGCCCGATTCTCAGAGTCCCTGCAGTTTTCCTGGCAAGGTTTTTCGGAAGTGCTTTGCCCTTGCCTCCTTCCTAGGGCTGAGAGTGAGTGGCTGGCCCAAGGTCATCCAGGGGACTTTGTGCCCAAGGCAGGACTAGAACTCACAGCCCCCTGGCTTCTAGTCAAACACCTTCACCACTACACCAAACTAGTTCTCTTATTTCAGTTAGCCTTGACTCCCGGTGACTACATGGATGAATCGCTGCAGAGTTCGTCTGCGGTTGGCCCTGGCCGCCTCCTTCCCAGGGCTGAGAGGGAGGGACTGGCCTGAGGTCACCCAGCTGGCTTTGTGCCCAAGGCAGGATTAGAACTCAGGGTCTCCCGGTTTCTAGCCTGATGCCTTAACCACGACACCAAACACTTACCACTATAAGGATGTGGCTCTTGGGCCCATTTCAGGAGTTGGGATGACCAGAAAAAAAAATGGTAGGTCGAAAGGGAATGCCACCAGAGCCAAAACTGCAGGATATAAACTCATATTTAAAATAATGAAATTAACAAATCAATGAATTCAGCATCTTCCTTAGAGACACCCCTCCCCCCCCAAAAAAACTGCACAGGCAAGAGAGGACACACTTATGTTACTCAATCCTTTCACAATTAAATGTAACATTCCTGTTTATTAACCCCACAACCCATTTTACCATTGAGTGTGTTGACTGAATGATGCAATCTGAACGATCGGTACAGTCAGTCGGTTCCAAGACTGTTTGGAAGGGCGGCGTATGCATTGGTCATATGATGTAATTCTGAAGTTTAGCAACATAACATTAATCTATCCCTCTTACATTCATGTCACAGATATTCTTCCTCTCTCATCTTGTTTTTCTAAACTTAAGCATTATAGGAAGATGATTTCAGGCTGCTTGTCCCTGATTTGTGGTGTCCGTACGAGGTGGAAAGGTGGGCTGGAGGCGGGGGGCAATTGGCTACTCTGCGTGGGCTTGGAAGCTAAGCATAGCGGTGCCTGGACCAGGAAGTTTAAAAGTATCCTGGGAAAAAGCAGTGACAAGCCATGTTCTATGGTCAAGAAGCCAGCATCATGGCCACAGCACCCTGAGGACCCTGACTCGAGGTCTTCCCAATCATGTCCGCCTGATAACTATCCGTTATCCGTTCTCATTCCTGTCCTGCGTGTGGGATTCCGGCTGCAGAGAACCCCAGGGATGACCCTGGAGAAGGACGTGACCAGCAGCAGCAGTTAGCAAAACGTGAATCCATCCGGAGAAAGGAAGGAAACGCTAGGAAGCCGTTCGACCTGACTCTACCTGGACACTCTTTGCTCTACGAGGGAAGAAAGGGAAACGCTGTCAGGCTTTCAAGATCGCATTGACGGATGATGTTAGGTGCCAACTCTTAGCAACCACATAGGTTGGCGTTGGGCATCCCCTCCTCCTCCATGATGGGTTTCTCAGTCCGCTTTGACAAAGGGTTTGACAAAGGGTTACACCTGCCCGTTGTCTGTTCTGCCCTGATGTGCCACCTTTCCCTTGTGCACACCTCGCAATTCGGAAATCTAGCTCTCGGTAGCCCAATTAAGAGGGCAGACTGAAGAGCGGCTGGGGTTAGGGCTCCCTTGGAGGCAGGCTCCCTGTTTACCAGCCTGGGTTAGTAAGGTCAAAAAGCCTAACAGGTGCCAAGCGAGCTGCCCCAGGGAGGGCTGAAGGGCTGGGGCAGAAATTCGGAGGCAAAATGCGCAGGACGGAGACCAGGGGCCAGCTCTCCCCTGCCATGGGGCGCAAAAAGGCACCGGGGGCTCAGTCTTCCCTGGCACTTTACCCGCTGACCTGGGCTTTAAGTAGGGCACTCTTTGCCAAATATTTAAAGGCTGAGAGAAGAGGTAAGACGGAAACGGCGCTTCCTGGAGCCGGCTTAATCACCCCAGCCTCACCAGGTAGGCTTTGGGTCATTATGCTGCGTAAGGATGAAGAAGTTGAGGGCTGTCAAGGAGGAATGATTCACCCACCAAACAGGGTGTAGGACCTGCTTTGCGGAACTCAGAGGCCCCTGGAGCCTCTCCGCCCCAAAACAAAACTTCACGCGGCTCTGCTCACGGGGAAACCTTTCCTTCCAGAGGTAGGAAGCGGTGCAGCCACAGCACAGGGGGCCTCCCAAATCTTTGCAGACTCCTGGGCCATTCGTGGGTCCGTTGGCACGAACAAAACCTGTAGCGGTATTTTGGAGGTAAGGAATTGCTTTCGTACCGTTCGGATGCGACGCGTCTAGAAGACAGGTGCGTTGTGGGGTTAGAGGTAGTTCTTCTCCTCTGCTGCTCGCGGGGAGGAAGCTGTGCCCGGGACAGGCAGGAACCCTGACTGGCAGGCGGAACTCTCTGCCACAGGATGTGTGGCAGGCTCCATTTCAGAAGGCTTTGGGAAGGGTTAGAACAATTTGTGGAAGAAAACCATCTGAGGCTGAACCTCCAGATCAATGTTTCTCAATCCTGGCAACTTTAAGACCGGTGGACTTCAACTCCCAGAATTCCCCA